GTACAATACTTATAAAATTGATATAAAACATTAAAGATTTCGTACGAATATTACACATTTTAAACTAAATTATATTGAAATTATTAATGTAAAATTTTCATTAACGCAATTAAATCTCACAACAGTACTATAATAACATTTTTCTATTAGCTCATCCTTTTAAATCTAATCATATGTAATAAAATTACATTCCTTTGGTTATAATCGTTATATTATTGTATGGATTTTTAACAATTTCCTTGCAAGCTTTTGCTCAGTTTTAGAAAAATGTTTCCCAGGCATAGTAACAGAAACAGAAACAGAAACTTTTCTATTCAATGTAGATTATAAACAATACTTATTGAAAGTCAATTTTTTCATTTACCACTGCATCATAGACTTAGATTATACTAGCGTACAGTATATTCTAAGTCTATGGTCACAGGTGTTTGAACAACGCGGAGCATAAAGAGGCATAATGGCAACTGACTACATGAGTTTTGTAAAAATCGATTAGAGAGTTATAATATTGAAGCCAAATCCAATTCATTATTTAGTCGACCGTGATTATTAAGAAATAATCACCGTCGACTGAATAATGACTTGTATTTGGCTTCAACGTATTGATCGGACATGCACATGATGGGAACATTGTAGCTGTTACTAGTTTGCGTTCGTTGCTAAGTGGAACCGACAATAGATTACAGTGTCCACCAGAGCTATACATCACGGAGTTTTTGATTATTTTCTGATGAAAATGCGAGTTGTTTTAAGCAGTGAAGAGCCACAGAGTCAGTAATTTTCCTTCGGGGTATGAGTGCAATCGCAAACAATAGCTGGTATAACATTAAATTATAGTTTTATCCTCAAAGTTCCGATAAACGTTTAGTTCAATATGAGTGGTATTACCTGCATGCGGTGTACCCTTCTACGCTAGGTCCTGCTCCTACTCCTAGTCCGCAGTATAGTTTGAGAAGCGTGCGTCGCAACCGTAATTTTTTTATAGGTTAAGGGTGACAGACGAGCACACAGTCCACCTGATGGTAAGTGGTTGCTGTGGCCCATAGCATCTACATCTATCCTCGATTACGAATCAAAATGCAGATGCGTTGTCACCCGTGAGGACTAAGATGGAATGTCACTTTTCCAGTAAAATAGATCTCCGGTTTTCCACACTCGCCATACGAAAACAAAAGTGTTAAGCTGCTATTTTCCGCGTTCAAGCTGGCCGTAGAAGAGATGTCTGAGGTGGACTGGAAAATGTGTTTCGAAAGAGGTTCCAAACGCATGAAATTTTAGTGTGTTGTTTGAGCTTTGGAAAGTTCTTAGAAAATATTTAACAATATAATAATAAAAACTTTAACCATTTTTTTTTATTTTTGCAAATCCTTCTGATTGAACCATATGTTACGAAGCTACGCCTAATCCATACAATCTATCTATAAATGAAATTGAAGTGTCTGTCTGTAATGCCAAAATAACATCTTTTTATTAAATGTATAAGTAAATGAAAATATATACCATACCAAAAAAGCAATTTTTAAAATATTGTCTGTCTGTTTATTCCGGCTGATCTCCGAAATGGCCGGATTGATTTCGATTTGACTTTCACTGGTAGCGAGGAGTAACTTATGCTTTTTTTATAGGATAGGGCGACAAACGAGCACACAGTCCACCTGATTGTAAGTGGTTGCTGTGGCCCATAGACATCTACATCTATCCTCGATTCCGAATCAAAATGCAGATGCGTTGTCACCCGTGTGGACTAAGATGCAATGCCTCGTCTCCAGTGAAAAGGGTCTCCGGTTCTCTACACTCACCATACGAAACACAGCAGCATTAAACTACTATGTTACCCTGGTATTCTGTGAGTGCGTGGTCCTTCCACGGTTGAGCTGACCCATTCGTGCTACAACTATACTTCTAATATAACTGCTGCATGGCTCTATCACGTTTAGGCTACTTTTATTTTGAAAAACTAATAAGGATTTAGCGCGAAAAAAGTTAAGCCCATGAAAATCAATTGTAATAATTTATTTGGACGCAGACGAAATCGCGGGGAATAGCTGGTCTATAATAAAATAAATAAAATTGATGTAGGTACCTGTCTGTAATATTAAAATAACTGGTTTCTGATAGGCTTAGAAGGTTACATGCACGGTATTAAACCATAAATAACCAATTTTGAAATTCGAAATGGCTTAAAGGATTGCGATGTAACTTTACGAACAGATCTAAAGCAATGCCAGAAGGAATCTAGGTTATATTATATGCGAAAAACTTGAAGATTTTTTTGTTAAATAAACGCAAAATTGATAAAATAATTGATCTTTGACAATCTAGAATCTAAAGTTTTTTTTTAAATAAAATCTTAATTATATTTGCTTTTTTTTCTCATTGAATGAATTATATCTTCTTAGAAAAGAAAATGGAATTCCTCTTCTAAATAAAAAATACCGTTTCCCCTGATAAGTTTTTTTGCGTTTGAGCCATAATAAATGTTAATAAACGAATACAATTATGTGTATTTTTGAAGAAATATGTTTTTCCAAATTAAGAAAGTGCTTACTCTTTTCTAAAAGGCCGGCAACGCACCTGCAATTCCCCTGGTGTTGCAATTGTTCATTGGGGGGGGGGGGGGGGGGGCAGTCATTTAACAGAAGGTGAGCCGCATGCTCGTTTGCCCTCTGTCCTATAAAAAATACTCGTATAATCTATACACATATAAACATGGACTTAGAAAAATGGACGGACGCCGTCTCTTAAAACAATTACTAACGCACACACACACGCACGCACGCACACATGCACACCATAGTAAGTCTACCGCCCGCCATACGTTCCGTGCTCGCGTTATTACTCACACAAAGTTAAACAGCCGCCATTGCGGTGCGTCATTTGTTTCTTAGCGACACTCTGTCCCCCCTTTTTTCTAGGTCCATGCATATAAATATAAATAAATTGTGTGTCTGTACTTTATATCTCGTAAATAATTGTCTTTTAGTGGGCTTAGGAGGTTATTTGTATACCAGTAAGAACATTTTTAAAATTTATATCTGTCTATCTGTTCGGGATAGTCTTCGAAAGGGATGAACCAACCGAAATATAACTTCACTAACAAACAGAGCGTGTGCAGTGGCGCTGTCTTTCGTTTCAATGCCTGATGGAGATAATTAATATAAAATAAGTAGTATTGAATGCTTAAGATATGATATTTTAAAATATTTGTTTAAAAGTTAGATAATACAAACATAGTTAGCATTCTAGTGACGCTATGCCCTTCCAGGGCGCCACATGTGTACCTATCTATCAATAATGTACCATCGTAATGAAACGTGACATGTAATATAAAACTTCAATTTTAATTTGAGATCATATGCTGCAATACGATGTTTTTCTTCTCAATTTTTTACAATGATATTCCAATTTTTATAACTTTCCTACAACACCGTAAATATAGTAACGCTTCAAAATGTAAGATTATCTTGATACCTCTCTTCTGCTTCAATGTACAATTTTGTATTTCAGGAAAATTTTGTCTAAATACGTATACTGGATATTATTATGTATATTACAATATTTTTCATACCTTTAATAAAATGGGTAATGTTCGTAACTTAGATACGCCTAGTAAACCTAAAAGTTGCTGTTCAAAGTACCTACAGGCTGTATAATTTTAGCGGCTCTTTTTCAGGAGAACTTTTCTTTATAATATTACTAGTTGTCTTTTCGTCAATTAAAGCACATGTACAAGAACTTTAAAGGAAAAGGTTATTATAATTTAGTTTGTTATTTACAAGAAAGAATGCTTGGAGGTAACGATAATTTGTTACGTTTTCTTAGTGTCTGTATGTATAATTTTACGATTTAGTTGTAATGTAGTTGCGAGTTTCCTAGCGCTTTTTCTAAGTTCACAACATGTCGCAAGCCGGGTCCTGAGCTCTTGAGCCAATTGCATGCATGGCTCTGCATTCGTCGTTAGATTGTTATTCGGTTTATTCGGCGTACAAACACTGCGCTTGTCACTACGAGGCTGCCATTAATGTCAGTTCGACAAGTTATATGGCCGACCTCCTGCTATTTCAGCCTACTGATACAATAGGCTATGTCTGTTAAAGGTACTTGTTTACATGCGTATATTTCAGCACACAGAGAAATTCCGTGTGTAACCTCCTTTATAGGACGTTGATATAGTTTGAAGAATCCAGAAAATAATGCAAACGGTTAGTCAATAGTTTAAACAAATGTTGGCATTTATTTTTTACATTAAAATAAAATATAATACACGTTCAACAAACGTACGAGTGCATGTGCATCCACGTAGTTTCTACAAGCACGTTGACTTTGAAATACATAAAATATTTCAAATAGTAAAGTAAAAATGTTTGCTTAGTGGCACTCATTTCTTCATTATACTCGTAACGTTTTCTATTTCATTAACTTTTTAAGTATTCTGAGGATTTTTTTTATAGAATATGGGTGACAAACGAGCCCACAGTCAACCTAATGTTAAGAGGAAGCCCTCAGACCTTAAAAACTATCCCCGATTAAGAACGAAAATGCAGATGCGTTATCTATCGCCCCTGAGGACTAAGATGGAATGACCGCGTCAATGAGAAGTGGTTCCTTGGTTCCACGACCACATCACCTATGCGCTCCGTCAGTTTTTGCATTATATCCAGCTGGGACAAACTGACATTTGTCCCAGCAAATGCCATCCTGACGGTGCGCACAATTCTTGGCCTGTTATTGCCTGATCTGAAGCATATCAGTCTGCCGATGAGAGCTCTAGCCTTTGCGATACGCTCCTCAATTCTTTTTCTCCATGCTGGGATAACGGTACTTTGGCCAGTAGCGCATCCAGCCGTAGAAACCTTGGCGCCTATGATACGGCAGACTGCCAGCGCGGCATCAAAAAGAATTGAGTCCGTATCGCAAAGGTCCCGGCTGGCTTTCACATAGGTCACCAGCATTGGGTTCAGAGCCCTCACGACAGCCCAATTCCGCTTGCTTAGGGCTAGTCAGGCTAGTAGGGCGGGGAAGTCGTGGTCGATTTTCGGAGGCGTACTGCGCGTTTCCATAATCGCCTCTTCCAATGTACTCCTCATTTGCTCTATTTCTCGTTCCTGGGCGAATATTCCATCATCATTTGAATCAGCCACCACTGGGGTATTCACGGCGGTATCTACGTGTGCGGGATGTTCTGCAACTTGTGGCACCGCATCCTCAGCCGTAGCATTTTCATTTGATGAGGGAACAGCCTCACGTCGTAGCCGTTCGAGTTCGGCGTCATCAAATATATTTGAGCGCAAGATATACCGAACTCGGTCTGCCAGGTTTTGCTCGGTGACGGTTACAGATGGCTCCAACTCAGCAAAAAGTCGATGCATCCTTGCCCTATTCGCAAAACCTCCAATTTCTCCCCCTATCGCCCTATAATACGCCCGCAATGCGTTGCTATTCATTGAGATTGTCCAACGCATGCGGCGTATTCCACCAGTGGCGGGTGCCGATTACTGGGCCCCCAAAGACCCTGCCGTCACCAAGCCTGCTGGTGGGGATGATGGATGCGAGGGGCTACTAGGTGGTCGAGCAGCACCTCGCGCTCGGCTGGCGGTTCGCATGCTGTCACGTCCAGCGCCAGCTCCAGACACACCCCGGCGACCCCCAGACAGCGTCCCTTTGCGCGTTCTATCATATTCCATCATCCATCAATTATTATTATTATTATTAGATATTATTATTATTATTATATATAGGGTTCTTTGATAGATATAATGTGGTCAAACGATATGCTGGTAAAAGTTTAAAAAAGGTAGTTCCGTCATTTACTTCTGGAACATCAATTATTTCGTTAATGCTGTAGGTAACAAATAAGTAGGTGTCACATGCAGTTGATTGAAATACCAACTATTATTTATTCTGTGAAAATATATAAATGCATGAAAATGTATATCTAATATATAGAAATTAATGTTTGTTTGTCCGTATTTTATGCGCTGTCACACCGTTCATCAGATTGAGGTAATACTTTGTCAACTAATTGTTTGCACTTGCGCGAAGGTATAGTAGTACAATTAACTTGCTCTAGGTGGCGCGCATATCGTACCGACAATTCATTCGAAAGTTATAGATCACTCAATTTTAATGATTGTATTCGCATTCCTGATTAAACAATATATGTACATAAATCAATCTTCCAAATTTAAAACGATATTTCTACAACTATTTCATCTGCGGCAGCAACACGCCGCGGTGCCGAGTACCTAACAGCTATTAAAAAGTATAAACCGTACAGCCTACTAAATAAACAAAACAAAACAAAACAAAAGTTTTTGATTATTTCTTCGACGCTTTCCGTTGAAAATGAATACCTAATACTAAACTGAATAAAAAAAAGAAGATACGTGCCTAATTAAATAATTTAAAATTGTATTTAGCAACCGTATTATTATGTTCGAAATATAACTCGCCCAACATAGAAAGGAAGATGGAACGCTGCGTACATTTCAAATGATGCAAAAACCAAAGGCCTAAACCTAAACCATACTTAACTTATTGTAAGAACACGCGCTCACATACATACACGCATACATGTTACATATAATTTAATCTAAAAACATTTGCAACCAATAATATGGTTTTAGGTGTATAATTATGTGTGGTGCGTCCAGCAGTAAACTTCTACGGTGAGCGAGTCAAGAAGTTGAACATGGTTTTTGCGTCACTTGAAATTGAAATGTAAACAGCGCTCGTCCGTCTGTCTTTCCTTTTTCGGTCTGATGAAAAGCATAAAAAATGTATTGATTGTTTATTCAATTTCTTGCATTAAATTAAAATAGAATACCCAATACGTAATCTGATTATAAAAATAATGATATAGGTAGTAATGGGTAGGCTAATTAAATAATGTAGCAATGTAGCAGCCGCAATATTATGTTTGAAATGAAAGTTACCTACGCTTTAACTTCATATCGGATCAAGATTAAAATAAAATAGAAATATAAGTACATATGTATATTGTGTTGTTCGTGTACGTAGAATTTTTGTATTATGACAGTTGTGTCGCGTTGAAGGTGCGATAGATGGCGTTGTACGCTAGTTCTTATATTGCTAAAACGCGATGTTGTGATTATTTCAGAGTGAATAAGAGTTTTTAGAGCAAGAAAACTTAGAATTACTAGACCATCCATCGTACAGCCCCGACCTAAGCCCTAATGATTTCTATACTTTCCCTAAAATAAGAGAATAAATTGCGTGGACAGAGATTTTAATCACCTGAAGAAGCTGTGGACGCCTACAAAACGGCCATTTTGGAGACCCCAACTTCCGAATTGAATGGTTGCTTCAATGATTGGTTCCATCGTATGGAAAAATGTGTCAAATTTCGCGGAGAATACTTCAAAAAACAATAAATAAATTTTTAAATAGTAATGTTGTGTAACTTCCTTGATTCCCGAAATTTTCAGTGCCACCCTCGTACTTTGTTTCGTATGATGACTGTAGAGATCCGGAGACCTTTTTTTGCTGGAAACGAGGCATTCCATCAAAGTCCTTATGGACGACAACGCAATTGCATTGTTGATTCTTAATCGAAGATAAATTTAGATGTGTATGGACCACAAGCTGTGGCCCACAGCATTCACTTACCACCAGGTGGACTGTATCCTCGTTTGTCACCTTCTTCTATAAGAAAGGAATTCTAAGAGAGAGGATTATTAAGTATGAAAAATTTCAATTGTGTAGGTCTATTAAGTTCAAAATGGCACGAAATGTTCCGTTTAAATATATACTGCCGGGGCGTCTCCATTTTCCTTTCCGAATTTAGCTGACACACTGACGTATGTCTAGATAATAGAAATGGGAAGACCTATGTTTAGCAGTAAGCATTGTGAGAGGCTGTATCTAATGAATGGATAAATGTTAGGCATAAGGGTAGAAAATAAAAGCAAATACGAAGAAATGAGTGTAGAACGTTCACCTCCACTCAATACAACAGTATAAAGGACAGTTCTGGTTTTAGTCACTATACGAATCTTAACTGGTGTTTGGTTATGTCCCTCGTGTTTATAATCTCGTATACGAGAAGTGAAAGTTGTGATGCGGAGTAGCTTTACTATTATTCATTTGCATACTTCATCTATTACGGTGTTGTCTTGTTACTTCTCACTACTTGCTGAGTACTAATAATGTTCTAAATAATAGAATTCTGAAACTACCAATACACTGCAAGATGGTTGGTCCCATACAAAGAAATTTGTCAAGTATTACACGATGTGGTACATTATACAAGTGATACAAGATGTGGTACATCTTGTATTTTTTTTTTGCGCCCGAAGCATATATGGGAAACCCTCCGGAAAGCGGGGGAGGGAGGTTGAGAATGCTCATAGCATACCACGCCGCCGGCTGCGTGGTTATGTGGAGACTTTTACCCACTAACTCAACCTTTTAGGAATTGGCCTAACGATCTGACTAGAGATCTCTAAGCCGTATACGAACGCGACCCTCCTTGGCAGAAAGGAGGGCGCAGCATCTTGTATTATTATGTTTCTCTTAATATACTTTGTGATCATGCCGGCGTATGCAAAGCAAGCGGGGTATTGATATCACTCATTATACATAAAAATACAAATAAAATATCCTATATTTTCCTCTTCGGCGTGAAGTTTATACACAGCTTCTAATACTAAATAATCATATAAATAAAAAAAAACTTTTGGTACATCCAAATGTGCATATGTCAATTTTTAAAGTATTTTAAATATACACAAATTTTTCGCTAATAATCTTAGTACTGTATTTCTAATTTTCAATAAAAAATGTTTGGAAAATTCAAAAGTGCACGACTGATAATGCTCAAATGATAGTGAAAATATTTAAAAATATCTCAAACAATAAAATATATTTTTTATTTTTACTATATTATTATAATTGAGATTAAAAGAAATTTTGTTGTTAAATGAAAAATAATTTACAGAATTATCTTAAGACGACCAGAAATCAACTTTAATATTACTTTAATTTTAAGGTATTTGTACTCAGGCATTATTGCAAAAACTAGTTATTTTTTTACCTGACTCGTTAATAATTTTTTTCTTATCAACTGTATTACGCTTTCAAAAAGTTCATAACCAGTATTTTAATTTAGCATTCACCAAAGTACACCTTCAGGTCGCTCCTAAATGTCGACAGTGCCCTAGGCTAGCCTAGCACCTCAAGTGCGCCCATATATATATAGCGGCCATATTATACATATTTATTATAAAATTAAAAGTATTCATTTTGCAAATAAACTATGTTATATTTTATAATATAGTTTAATAACTGTAAAATAATTAAGATATGAGTACATTTAACTGGTGGTCATAAATGAAAAAATGTGATGAGGGAGTAAGAGCAGTTTAGGAGTATTTTAATGCGGCAATTTTTTTTTACTTGTAACTATTTTTTACGCCAGAAGTGGCCGATATCATTATACGCCTTAATAATAAAAAAATCAATTTCAACATTTACATCGTATAAAGAAAAAAATCCGGAGAAAAACTAATTAGTTTAGAAGAATCTTGAGCTGCAGGAATTTTATGATTTCTTGGCTATTTAGATAACCTCTGGCGCCAACAACTCAAATACTGACCATGCAATGAATATGTGGCAGACGTATTCATATCCATTATATCGTGCAGCAATGTGCGTTAATCGCTTCAGGAACATCATTCGCTTTATTCGATTTGATGATCCCAATACTCGAGTTCGGTGTATGGAGACTGATAAAGCTGCTCCAATACGAGACATTTGGACAATGCTTAAGGGGGAATATATTTCTTGTTTTTTTAGAAAATATTCTGTTTAAGGGAAAATATTAAAAATACTACCTCAAATGGCTTAGCAATATCCTCCGTTATGCCGAAAATATTGTAGCATTAATTTTGAAATAAATATATGGTAAAGTTGAGGATTAATGTTAAGTACAACTCTAAGTACTCCAAACTGAACAATAAACCGCTGTTATTCATAAAATGCTTTAAATAAGATCATGAAACTTTGCATACTAACTGAACTAACTATAAAGCAGAGTTTATTTTTTATTTATTTTTTTAATTACCATTATTTTCACTGTAAAAATAAGTTACCTAAACTATCAGCGTCCTGAAGCTTGTTTCCTGCCGCCTGGTTCCAAGCTTCAGGACGTTGATAGTAGAATACATGACAATCGACGAGCAACTTTATCCATACCGCAGTTGAACTAGATTCACCCAGTATATACCATCGAAGCCAGCAAAGTATGGAATCAAATTATTGTGGATATGTGATGCTGAAAATTCGTATCCACTTACTATACAGCTTTACACTGGGAAATCGAGTGAGAGTCGTAAATAGAACGTTGGTG